CGTGGCGAACACAAGATCTTGCTTTAGTTGGCATCCATCTCGAATGTACTTGACGAGCAGCGCGATCTACATGCTTGGATCGTCAACAAGGCGCGGATGGTGCCGTGGTGGTTCACCTGCAGCCCGATGTTCACGACCGCGCACACTTCCATGATGACGAGGACCTTGAGCACGCGCTTGTTGTCCTTGACAGGTTCATGCACAGAGGACGAAATCGAATGCGATTTCGACATGAGCGGCATCATGGGGATCGCAGGTTGGTCTTCGAGGGTGGGGAGCACGATCGGAATGGGCACGAACGGCGGGTCGTGCGACTGACTTGGCGACGCCGTGGAGCCCAGCGCGGGTGACGGCGGCAGCGCCGCGTACAAGTCATGGAGTTGACGCCACGTTTCCTGGCGGATGGCGTGCATGACGTCGAATCGTTTGTTTGCTTCTCGAATTAGCGACAGTCGCCGGTACGCTTGGAGGCCGTAGTGCAGCGCCGTGGTCGACGTGGCAAAGAGGACGAGTGGGGCCATCGAAAACTGGACAAGCACTTGCCATGAGTCAAAGATGTTACGGTCGCTGCGCAGGAGGTAGGCCGGCCGTACGACGACATAAATGAACCATGTGAGGAAGAACCCGAGGCCCGTGAATCCCCGAATGTAATGCTCGCACACAATCGCTCGAGCGGGAGGAGCCACCAGCCGCGCGTAGAACGCAGTGTACAAGACTCTATTCCATGCGCGGGTTAACATGGATCAAGTCGAGTCCAAGGCGCACATGACGCTGTAGATGGCCGCGGAACAAATGTCAATGATGAGGCCGCTCACGACGGGGTGGTAGATGCGTTCGTGGGAGCGGGGATCCGGCGCACGGCCGATGAATGTGAGCGCCGCGACCGTCATGAAGTAGTACACACGGCGTTGAATGGTTGAGCCTACAAGGCATGGACACGTTGTGGTGTGTTGCCATCATCTGCTCGCAGGCATACCGTCATTTTGTCGAATCGATCGCAGCTTGCACAGACACGCGGCAAGCGCGACGATGCCAAACACGAGGCACCCGATGCGTAGTGCGTCGTTCTCGACCCGACTGAGTGATGCGACGGTGTTGGACAAGGCGCAGATCGAGTTGTTCTTGTACAGGCCAAAGCAGCATGTGACCTGGTCGTCCAAGACGCAAACCGACATATCGACGAGCGCGACGCTGGGCGAGTGTCCGTGTGGGCAGTCGCTCTGAACTGCGTACCGATCGCCGCGGCGACCATGGATCGAGAAGCGCCGACTTTCGACCCCGCGCCGCGCACGCGAGGACGGAAGACGCGGTATATATAACTCGGGATTCATTTCGTACCATGTTGAAAATCTCCGACGGACCCAGTAGGAATATTATTATTCAGTGTCGAATATTATATTTCATACATCATCCGTACTGAGTTTAAATGCAATCAATAAAATAGATGGATTCGATGATGGAACCTGTCAACTCGATCCAGGAAATGTCTCCAGTCCAAGATGTTGAATAATGCGCTTTGATTGGCCCGTCGAAACTCGAGCAGCCAATCAGAGACGGTTAGCGCACGCCATGATCGAAAGCCGGCTGGCACGACGCGTCGGTCGATCGACGAAGCTATCGACGACGCCTCGATGCGCAAGAAAAAGGAGAAGTGACGGAGTTCGTGGAGCGCAGTGGTCAGGCTGGCGTGCATGTACGTCCATGGCATTTCGAACCATGCAATCTTGGAAACGAGTTCCATGAGCCAGAGGATCATGTGCGCTCTGTCCAGCGCAAGGCCGGTGTCACACAGACACTGCAAAATGGTGGGTCACAGCACAGCCCTCTCTTCATTACACGTGGGTATTTTCGCCGCCGGGTGTGTTACGCGCCATGCACGGGGGTCGCGAAACGAGAGCTCAACACAAACTTACACCGTCGCTGGAACGAATGGGTCGTGTTCCTGTGGCTCACTTTGGCTACAATGAAGCCGTTTATCCTGATGTGCATGAAGGATTAAATCAAAAATTAAATGATTGGCTATAACTAGGAGAATTTCAGTCAATCGATCACAGTTGTTGTTGTATCACCATTAGAGTTGTAGCAAGTCTGGTTTACTGTTAATCGCTTTTCAGACTTAAACTTCGTTTCGAATTTCGAAGACTGCAGACTTGGACCGAAATCAAGTCCGAAAAGTGGAGAAGACTACAGACTTGTCACCCTGAAGTCTGCAGAGTGCGGACTCGTGCCCGAAGCCAATCAAATTGGGCCCTGACAGGTTGCACGCCTCGGCAACCTACCACTGAACAAATTGATTGATGATGGGCAAAGCCATGCACAAGCAGCTTGCTTGGAGCTCGGACATGGACCTGGCCTTGCTTCGCCAGGTTGTGCGCGTCGAGCCCTACGACGGCGAGTACGGCACGCTCATTGCAAGATGGAAAGTAATCGCAGTCAGCTTGGCCACACTTTTCGAATACGAGATCAAGTACCGGTCTGCACGAGACCACTACGAGTCGATGGTGGAGGCGTTCAAGTCGACTAACTAGGCGCTAAGATTGTGGGGCACCGGCAGCGAAGAGGATGTCAACGAACAAGTTCAACTATTGCAGGACCTTGTGGACCGGCGAGCGGCGGCCGAAGAATTGAAGAAGTCGAAGAAAGACAAGGGGCAAAGACGGCGCGACTCTCTGGAGTCCACAGGGTCCCAACTGTACCTTGAATCAGAGCAGCGGGTAGTCAAGCGTAAACGGTCTGTGAGTTCAGTGGCCACCAAAAGAGAAGAACAAGATGCCGTGACACAGGAACTTCTCGAATTTGAGAAGAAAAAGCATTCTGACGGTCATTTGTATAGAATGGAGCGCATCGAGTTTGAAAGAGAGGAATAAAAGCTCCGTTTGACACAAATGGCTAAGAACACTAACGAGCAACTTGAGCGTCTCTTGTTAGAGGTGGGAAAGTTAATTCAGGTTGTAGCCGAAAAATCAAAGAAATTGAAAATGTTACTTTGTATTTTTACATGTGCAGGTACTCTTCCAATGATGGAGGTGACATGTCAAAATACACGCTATTGATGTTCCGTCCTGGATCACAAGTTATACAGTTGGTCAGTAGTACAGCGACTTAATACATTGAGGGAATTAAACTTTTTCCAACTCGCATCTTGTTTTTGTAGTCCACAATTGGCCAGTACTAGTCTGTTCCCTTTTAAGTGGAAAAGCCAGTGCAATCGTGGGGTGCAATCAGTGTGTTCATCGTTCAACCTGCAAAATTCAATGAATTCACAAATTATACAATGTGAGAGGAATATGATGTCGTGGTGACTGGTCGAGTTGAAACCATGGTATACCAAGCTGCCAAGCCCGCCATTGGAAAAGGGAGTAAGGTCAACATCAATGACTGGCAACGAGAAGAGATATTCAAACATCTCCTCGAGGTGTCATGTAAGGGCCGTTTACCCATGGGAGTAGTGTGTGCTGTCGCTGATGAGTATCTCAACAGACAGTATACAGAATTTGGAAACGTGGCCGCCAGCCCGACAGAGGAAAGTACAGTAGTGTTGTGAGCAGAAGAAAGGGAAAATGTGGGCGAAAGCTTATGTACCCGGACCTTTTGGAGAAGATTAAGACAACGGACCCAAAGGACCGAACTACGTTACGTGATCTTGCTGCTGCCACAGGCGTTCCAAAGACTGTTCTGTTCAAACGTCTAAAATCAGCGTATTTCAAGAAATACTTTCGTCCATTGAAACCATTCTTAACACCATCTGACATGTACTTCCGTAGCAAATGGGCTCTAAGCCACATACGCTCGGATTTTACTGATGCCAGCATGGACAATGATGTCCATGTTGATGAAAAATGGTTCTTTCTCAAAGTAACCAGGTGCACATTTTACGGTGTAACTGGTGAAACCCCGCCACGGTCCGTGAAAAAAAGAACTACACTTTAAAGTTACTGCACCTCGTATTGTGGCAAAAAATATGTCAACCAGTAAGACAACGCCGGCCCACACATACCTGTTGACGATGTTGACGTTGTGTCCGCAGGGCATTATGATGGTTTCAGCATCAATGTCG